CCCTTTTCTTTAATTTACGAAATTATTTTGCGTTATCTTATTTTGCTGTTACTAATGTTTATAACATTATAGTAATTATAATGTTTATAATAAAAATAACCATCGATATTCATAGCACTAGTAAAAATACATTTTCCCGCCAAATGAAATCAGGTAAAGCAGAGCCATCTAGTGTAGAGAAATTTCATTAAAGAATATAAAAAATGAGCACAGCATTTCCCCCATTTTTTGTTCATTTTTACCCGGCGCGAATGGGTTAAGTGAACTTAATGAATCTGAAAAAAACTATTCTATTGTGCGTCGTCGATAGTGCAAAATCAGTGGCTTTATCAATGACAAAAAGTTCAGCAAGAAAGATCGATGTATGATTCGGCAGTCTCAACTTTAGTTCACATTCAGTCGACCATACACCCACACACTCATCTGTCTTGGAGCCGTCGGTATATATATGAAAAAAGGGAGATGTTTAACAAGGATCTCTCTGAACCTCTGGCGTACCTCCGCCTCCGGCGCCATGGCCTTGGCTAATGGAAGCCAGGCTTCCATGATAGAAAAATTGGCGCTATATTTGATTGAACCAGGGTATCGATGGTAGATAGATGTATACCGACTGTCTCGACGAGGTCGTGAAGTTTCGCGGCAAAGGACCTAGTGCCTCCATTACCATTAGGGTGACTCGGGTCTCGAACCACCTTTGCGGCATAGGTCAGTGCTAACTGAGTAGGCGATATCGCCATGTCATGTCGTAGGCTTTTTCTATATCTAAAAATACTGAAATCAAATAATCTTTTTTTGGTAATTGCCTCTTGAATATGACTGTTCAGCTTTACTAGTTGATCGAGAATTTGACGTCCCTTTCGGAAGCCGTACTGCTCGTCAACTAGCAATAGCCTACTGTTAACAATTCATTCCATGACCTTGCATATGCATATTGTCGACGCAATTGGGCCGTACGAGATGGCAAATCTGGGATTACCCCCTCTTTTCAATATGGGAATGATGTAGGCGAAGTGCCATGAGTTTGGAAAAGTGTGGCTTTTCCAAATTTCATTTACACTTCTAGCAACTTAATCATGTCATCATGATTAAGAGGCTTTATCTTCTCATATCAAATCTCATTGGGGCCTGGGGATGTTCCTCTACAGGCTTCTAGGGCTCGGAGAAGCTCATCCATTGACAAAGTGAATAGATTGCAGCTCAGCCGCTTTCTTGATGGGCAGGAAGGCAGGATGGTAATTTGCTGAGCTGCTTGTATGAGAGAACTGCCTGGCGGGTGCATTAGCAATGTCTCTAGGTGAATCTAAATTATTACCCTCGTCAATGATGTCGTTAATTTTGAAAGATGTTTTTTTCTTATTGATTTTATTGACAGTGGACCAAACCTCCGATATTTTTGTATTGCTGATAATTGTAGGGACAAATCTCTGCCAGGATTCTCTTTTTGCTTGTCTTATTACTCTACGAGCCCTATCTCTTGCTTGTTTGTAATTGCAGGAGTTCTCATTAGTGATGTTATTTTTGAAAAGCCTGTAGGCCTTATTGCGTCGGCACAGCGCCCTCTGGCAATCTGGTGTCCACCATGGAACTCTATGCTTAACGCTATCTTTCGAAGTTTTAGGAATGGATAGCAATACTGCTTGTAAAATCGAATTCTAAATATTGTTTTGTCATCAATGGTTTCTCCACCAAGTTTGAGCTTGACTAAAGGACTAAATCAGACTCATTAATCAGCTTAACTACTTGCTCACCTCTACCACCCACCCGCAGGGAACCCCATAACGTATGATGAGCATTAAAATCACCTCAAATTACTTTATTTTGTGGCAGACGTTCCTGAAGAGCAAAGAGCTCATCATAGATTATCACTTTATCAGGTGGGCGATAAACTGAACATATAGCCAGATACGTGCCATTAATTTTTACTTTGCATGCGACAAACTCCAAAGTAGAATCAATAGTCACTTCTGTAAAAGGGAGGGTTTGATGGATGTACATGGCGACTCCGTCTCCACCCCTACCCTCACGATTCTTCCGACATAAATTGTAGTTCCTCAGCGAAACGACCTCGCTAGAGACGAGGTGTGTTAAATGCATTTCTTGGAGAACTATAATGTCGGGTCCTCACAGGAGTAACCTGGACAAGGAGATGTGCTCCGGACTGTGATTCGGTATCATCCTCCTTATGATGTTTATTCTGGGTTGATTCAGCAATTTGATCGACCAATTTTGTTAATTGATAAACTTTAATATTTAGTTCTTTAACGTTTTGTTTGAGTTCGGCAGTTTCCTTATCTTAGCTGCAAGCTGTTGATTGACATCACTTGCACTAGGGGTGTTGTTAGTTACTGCTGCAGCATAGGAAGTATCGGGTTTGTATGTCAAACTTACAACTTTCCTCTTAGCTTCAGTATAACTAACTTCATGCTTTCTCATATATGCCAATGTCTCAGTCTCCTTCTTCAGCATATCCTGACTGATGGGGACCTCCACAGTTAGCACATTTGGAAATCTGGCTAGTACATGTGATGGTGTCATGGGCTTCAGCATATTTACGGCAAGTAAATTTATTAGAGTCTTTATCATTACATCTTAATGAGGTGTGTCCGAATTTTTGTCATCTATTACAATGCATTGGCTTTTGAACATAAGGTCTTAATTGAACGCGTTCATAACCGACATTGACATACTCTGGGAATTTATTCAAAGCAAAGTGTAAAAAAACAGTCCAGTTTTCGTTTGCACATTCCCGTACTTCTTGGTCATACAATGAACGTTCACTACGTATTGGTCCTTCATTCTCTTCACTTTCTTCCATCGTCCTCAAATCCCTGTGAAAGATTACTCCCTTACAGGTATTTGGGCCAATAGAAATAGTTACTTTAACTCGAAGATCATGAATTTGCGTCAGCTTAAGTAATTCTTTAATCTGGAAGTTAAATTGTACTTTAACAAGGAGGTTTCCATCTCACAATTTTTTGACAAAATCAAAATCGCCGTCCACTTGACCATTAAGGACCTTTTGGATGATAAAGGGGTTCACGTTCAAAAGCGATTGATTTTCATTTACGCATTTTACATTCGCGAACCTCGCATTCTGAGTGGGGATTTTGAAAAGTGGTCTTTTTGTTTTGTGGGGGTACCGTTATTCGTTGACAGATTGGTCACAGAAGGGTCTTGAGGAGGAGAAGGGGTAGCCGGGGTATCACTCATTCTGGGTATCAGACCAGGTCCGACCCCAAAATTGTTGTACTGAAGGGATCAAAAACTCCTAACAGCAATAGCTAAAGCCCTGGTCACACTAGTAACTTGTAGCTAGAGATCCCCATATGTATATAGAAAACGTCTGCAACTAGCGGGCGATCCTCACAGCTAGCGATGGAAAACCAATACACCGTTGTGTTGGTGTTTGGTCGTTCGCTAGTGGGGGGGAGATCTTATCAAAACAAAAACTATAATGTTTATTTTATAATTTATCCTTTTTTTTAATATTAAATATAATAACCAGTACATAAATAAACCTCTCTCAAATAAATATAAGTAATTTAAATAATTATGTACAATAATATTTTATTAGAATGAATAGATTATCGAAGGGTTACTCGCTTGACCATCGAACGTAAACACAAACATTCAGCAGGATTGGCATAATGGAGCTCTCATCCGAAATTACTTACGCTTTTCTGGAGAAAATAAGGATGAATGAGATTCTGTGGAACACCAGCTTGGAAAACTATAAAAGTAGGAACTTAAAAAGGTCGCTCATGGATAAAATTTGCAGCGAACTTCGCCTGGAATACCCAAAATATGCTGACCAGCTATCGACAGGTACGCCCACATTTTGTTGCTACTATTTTTTAGTGTTATTACTATTATTATGATTATATGTGGTATATATTATTACTTGTAATTACCAATATTGTAGGTATTGTATCACATAAACATGTGAAGTATATAACATCTTACATTTGGTGAAGTATTTGTTGCAGGCATCAACTGAACAGACTGAGGAGTTGGTATGGACCGGTGTCATAAATGAATTGGTGGATGACCCTCTTACTGATGCATCAGCAAAGGACACAGATATTCCTTCTGCTTATTGTAACTCAACAAGTGAGGAATCATCAAGAACACCATCACCACTCGAAATAATTCCTGTCACCCCAAGGACAAAAAAGAGGAAAGCCAGTAAAGTTGATACCAATATGAATACAATTATGGACTCCTTTTCTACTGTCCATACAGCTTGGAACAATATTCAACAGTCAAAAATGACTAAACCCAAGAACCCTGCAGCAGAATTAGTTACTGCCTTTATGGAGATGATTCCTGAACATAATTCCATAATGGTCTACTGGCATTGGTGTACCAAGTGTCCCAAGAGTTTACAGAACCTCCAAGTAAACCACAGGATTAGAACTGTTGATCCAATCGTTTAAAATGTGCAATAATTAGGCTGTCGTAATTACTATTGTTTTTTTTGTTTGTTTGTTTTTACTAGTCAATATAGAAATTTGTACATATTTGTTTTTAAATACTTTAAGGTAACATTTAAAAGGCTGTGATCTTATTGTGATGGTCTCTGTGCTCATACATTTAAGGTGTTATTTACCCTAGTCTAGTTTAGTTATATATACTTAAATATATATATATATATTTTTTCATGAAGGAAAAATAAATTTAGAATATATATAATTGTTTTTTTATTTGATTTTTCCTTTTATATATACATAATATAAACATTAAACAAAACAATAAAAAGAATCAGGCACTTTGTTAACTGAACAAAAATCACAATAAACATGGCTTAAAGAAATGCAAACTTAACCTTATAATATGCACTTTACATTTCAACATTAATGAAGATGTGCCATTCTCTCTTGCCAAGGTACAGCACCTCTGGTAAGGAAAAATTCTCGGAAAGTATCCCTTACAATTTTAGCATCATTTGAGTGGCCTCGTGCAATTGCTTAAAGGTTTTCCATCATATTTGGCAACTCCTGCTATTCGCCCTGAATGAGGACACCATTTTCTGTGTCTTCCCTCACAAGCATTTCAGGTCTAACAGGCTTTCCACTTTTCACACGCAAGAAATTATGAAGAACAAATGTTGCAAAAATGATGTCTTTTATATTATCTGGTTTAGATGCAATTGGCTGCATAAGTACTCTAAACTTTGAGGCAAGAATGCCAAATGCATTTTCAGAGACTCTTCTGGCTCGTGACAATTTGTAATTAAAAATCGTTTGTTCTTTGGTGATGATTCTTCCAGGATATGGCTTCATTAAATAGGTCTTGAGTGGAAAGGCATCATCACCTACTATAACATATGGAGCCTTTGTATTTGTGAAGGGCAAATTTTCAGATGGAGGGATTTGCAACTGCTGTCTCTCTATGCATTCACGGAGGGTACATTTATCCCATACACCAGCATCACTTGCACGGCCCTTTGCTCCAACATCTACATATAAAAACTTGTAATTGGCATCCACTAAGGCTAGTATTATGATGCTGTGGTTCGTCTTGTAGTCATAATACTCTGAGCCAGAATTTGCAGGTTTCCTTACGAGTACCCGTTTGCCAGAGACACAAGGGAGAATTCCATAAGTTATGGAATCCAGAAGCAACATCTTGCCATTCCTCTGATGTTGTTGGAAGCTTGAGATACGAGTCCTTCAGCACAGAGTAAATGGAATTATGGCTGCTTTCAGGTTGTGGCTCATTCTATAGGACCATGCCAGTGCACGCCTTGATTGTACTGTTGTAAAAAGGAAAGGAAATCTCTAAGAACCATGTAAATTGTTAAATAGTTTATAAATTCTATGTTTATACTTTTACCAGTCTAACCAATCAATACCATCGGGCTGATGGGGGGCTATCGATAAATCATCACCATCTATTCATGGTGAAATGCAGCCTTATAGTAAATCTTTATCGATCTCTTTGATATTTCATTCATAAAACACATTAGTGTGTATGTGTTTACATAGATATATGTCAATTTATATGTGAATATGTAAATCAAATAGAAATGTTTACTTCTGGTAAAGTATGTGGAAAGCTTACCTGTAGCAAGATAGAAGTGTTACTGATAATCGCTGGTCCGGTGGAATGGCATTTCTGAGATTCGTGATCGAATTATGCGTGGGACACTTCCTTACCGCCGAACTTGCCTAGGCGACGGACGGTAATTTAATTCCCCTCCCCCCAAGCGAATACGGGAGGTCACGAGGAACTCCAGTAGGCTCAAGAAACTCACATTATAAGGAAAAGAATTCAGAATCAAAGAAAAAGTGCGCCCAAATGACGCCCCAAACTACTGAGCGTCCCTGCCCAGGGGTCAAAACCACAAGAGCTACCACAGTGTAAAAGAGTGCTGCGGGTCTGAGGTAGTGTGCTGACTACGCCTACTGTAGCCTCATGTCACGTGCAAAACAAGAGCACTGAAGGTGCTGGCAAAGCACAATAAATGGTCTATAATTACAGGTTTTACTTTACTTCAATTTACTTTAGGAAAACGCCGGATCAACAATGTCAAGCGTGAGACGAGAGGCCCCGGCCTCCAGGGTAGCTCAAGTGGCACAAGACTTAGTATTTGTTGTTACTGCGTTTGAAAAAGGTGCTGCCTCATCAAGAGTTCATACACGAGTCCGATCTTTCGACTACGAGAAAACCATCGATATTTATAGCACTAGTAAAAAAAAAAAAAAAAAAAAAATCCCGCCATTTCATGTAAAAGTGAAATCAGGTAAGGTCACTCGATCTACTAATTGACTCCTTTGTGGCTAAGCATTAGCAGAGAAACATTTCACAAAAATATAAAAAATGAGGACTGCATTTTCCCCAT